AAACAAACAAACAAAAAGGTGGAATAAAGACATTCTCAAGAATCTGTTAAAAAACAAAACTCAACTGAATAAATTTGAAAATCTAACTGGCTTTTTTCAACAACTCATGAATTAGGCAGCATCCCCACTAGCAAGTGAAAGGAGCTCTGAAGAGCTGTACTAAAGGGCAGATTTTAGAGGGAGAAGAGGGAAGGGACAAGAAAGTCATAACAGAGAGAATTATTTCAGGCAAGGTCATCTTCCTTTGGAGAGAGGATGGGGGTCTATTATGTAGATTATTTTGCTAGTGTTGATCAGGTTTGAAAATCCACTTTTGGGAGAGGCTGAAACTGCAGGTAGGTTAACTATTAAGTCCTAGTTTGCTGACATGTGGCTTAGTACAGGTGACTCCATTTTGGGCCTGTTTCTTCTAAGTTTTACGGAAGCAAGGAATTAAAAATTGGCTTTTATGTATTTGTAAGTCTGGGGAAAGGAAATCCTGGGGCAAAATACCGGTAAGACCGAAATCAGTCAAAGGGAGAAATAAAGTTTAAAATCCATTTATTGCTTACAAACTGCAGTCCAGGGCCGTTTCTTTTTCCTGCTCTGGCAGAAGCAAAACCAGTCCCCCCACCTCACCTCTCAGGTACAGATAAGCCCTCCGTTGCCCAGGTAATTGCCCACTGATATGGAGATGAATTTCTCTCCACCTCTGAAGGAAGCCTATTGATACATAAATGCACTAAAGCCATACTTCTCTCCAGCCCTGAGGATGCAGATGCACTAAGGCCAGGCGAGATATTCTGGAAATATTATGGTTTGAACCACAACATTCTTAGGAAATGACTAAAGGATTTACTTTAGTGAAATGGGGGAATAAATCCAAGTTAAAAATATTAATAATAATAGCCCTAGAAATTTGATAGTTGGAGCAGTTGGAAAAATTTAAAGTAGGCCTATTAAAAACGTGAAAGCAATGTTTAGGAAAAAACCGTACTTATAATACATACCTACTTGGTAAATTCAGGAATGAACAGTAATCTAATTATGGTTATCTAAACATTATTGGCTTTATCAAAAATTGTGATATAACTATTTTGAGAGAACAAGAAAGGGAAGTAGTGATGGTGTAAGGGAGCTATGCCTTCTCTGCCATAAAAAGGCTATCAGTATATGATGTCTAAACTAATTCATACATAGCAGAATAATAGTGCTGTATAGAAATGTGAAGATTAATAGAAATCACAGGAAGTACAGAGAAGACAGTTGGCTTTAGAAAGCAGGACTAAGTACAAATGAATCAGGGAAATGCTGTTTTTTATTACATCACTTAGATTTTTAAATGAAGACCATGTATTGCTTAGACAAATTAATTCTGAAAAAGAGAGAAAGAAAAAAATAACAGGCATAAAAATAAAAAAGTTATTTTAACACTTTTGAACTGGGTAATATAAGTTCCTTGCCAAATCTGTATCATATGTAAATGTTTGACTTGAACTTGAGGGACAATAGCCTTGTCCTTCTGGGTGATGGGTGCTAAAGCAATGCTATGTGGAGGTGAGTGAACAATCAGGGACACCTTGCTGCAGTGGCCACTAAGATGTAGTTGGAAATACTTTGTAAAATAATTGTTTGGCTTCATTTTTCTTTCCTGAGTTTGAGACTTTTATCTTCACTTCCCTTGCACCTTTGACAAATCCACTAACCATTATTAGTGTTCATTTCAGGCTGTTTTTAGTTATGTTATATAGGATTAGTGTAAATTTGAACTCCTCTAAAACCAATCTTGGTTGACAAGGTAATTGGGAAGAAATCTTTAAAAGAAAGGGAAAAAGATTTATGTTATCAAAAACCCATTGTCTTACCTATATGCACATTTTTGATTGCCAAAGTTGGAAAGTATGACTTATTTTATAAATGAAGTCAGTAGTAAACAAACTTAGAGAAATGAAACTTCCAGCTACATATTCCTATAGGGCTTTTCAGGACTACTAGGCTAGTGCTGATGTTACAAATAAATAAAGTCTCCGAAGTCAAATTATTGGGAAATCATTGACTAATCCTTCTTTTTGACATTTAAAAAGTATATCCGTGTGCTAAAGATCCAGTATTTCCTGAGTTATTGCAGAATTAAAAAAAAAGTTATCCATTACCTGTAAGTGCAGGAAAAGGTCCCAAGGAGTTCACAGTACTGCAGTGTGTGTTTTAGGGTTTGTTTGTTGATGGGGTTACACCTAATATTTGTTTCTTGGCTGGATCTTTTTACCAAAGGACTCTGAGGCAAAAGAAGGGGAAGATCATCTTTCTCTTTCTCAGGTTGGGGAGGTCATTAGGATCACCCTGGGCCACCACTCGGAGTTGAGGAGGTAGAACTCAGAATGGCCATTAAAGCTGCTTCTAAATTCTGTCCTGGGTCTACATATACTTGATTATCATTCTTAATTTCTAATGCTCTTGCAGCTCTTTTCCTTCAATTTGAAATTGTTTATAGACTTTTTGATAACCCTTTATGGCTTTCTTTTATTTAATAAGGCAATGCATAGTACCAAAATATTGAGAAGAACAGTACAAAGAAGGAACTTATGGCAAGCAAGCTATGGCAAGAGCATAGGCAAATCCAGAGAGCAAAGTTGAAAACACTCCTTTTACAGAGGAAAGCGCCTAGGTGGGATGGCTGTTCTAAACAAAACGTCATTTAAGAAACTGGGAGTCTCACATATTGTGGCTTCTCATTGGCTGGGCTGTTACTGGGAGCCGGAAGGCTACTGTCTTGTCTAGTGGGGTCTGAGTTTTATGAAGAATGGTGGGTATGAGAGCTCACCCTGCATGCCTCCTGATGCCATGTCAGTGAGGTCTCCCCTTACTAATTTTCACAAGACAAAACAAAAATGTTGGGGCAAGGAGAAGGCCACTTATGAGAGGTTACCAGGAAAAAAGCATGGTAAACAAGGGTAAGGACTGTTAGGAAGATTTAAGTAAGCACCTTTTCCATTGATGAGAGTTTCTGGAGACTTGGACTCAACCTTTTCTTCCAGGTACAGAGAAAGAGACATCTTTACAAATAATTTCCTTTGTATAATGTAAACGTCCCTTACAAAAGGGTAACCTTGCTCTGTTTTCAGAGCTGCTCTTAAACTAATCAGCTCAAAATAAGCCTGTGCCAGAGAGGAATATTTTGGGATAGCATATTCTGCTCCCCTTCACTCAAACTGATGTACAGGCATCCTTGAAATACATATCCATGACTGGGGTAGGGCGGGGGAGACTTGTCACACACATCACAGCACTACTGAACTCAGACATAATGTCTTCCACATTTGTCTCCAACCAAATGGCACGAGGACATCAAAACATAATAACAGCTACTGATCTGAAAACTGCTTTTCATGTGGGCAGCCCTCATGAGGAATACCAAAGGCATTTCTGTCCAGTAGAATGCTTACAATGGTGGATACCTAGAATATCCACTGTTAAACTCTTAAAAGGGAAGCAGATGAGAGACAAGTAAAATTATCTATCAGACCATGGACTCCTATCTCTCTAAATATCTATCACCCAGAGAGTAGCTTCCTGGTTATTCCCATGTTCTTCAGGCTTAGGAGGTCACCTTTCCATTGACTATTTAAAAAAGTGACTGGAGCTCCTGTAACACAAATAGCAAGAGACATTTATCTCTGAGATTTCTTACAATTTCCAGTTGAATTAAAAATCACTTGTATCTCTCCTCCTTTTTCTCCACCTGCTTCAAACTCAAGTTAGAGTATAGCCCCTTTCCCTTCTTATGCAAGGTTCTCCTCACATAATGTAGTAGTGTGAGTAGAATTTACTCAAAATTTGCCATTAAGGCTGGACTTATCATTGGCCAGTTTCTCATCTTGGGTCTTTCACCTTGCTGCTAGAACTTGCCCTCCTGCCACCTTCTTCTTAATATTCCTACCCTTACTCTGTCCCATCAAGAGTTCATATTTTCTCCCATTTTTTAGCAAAGCACTTAACTTCTGTCTTGCTGTGTCCATGGGCTTCCTCTTTTATACCTAGAGATGTCACTAAGATACTCTCTTAAACCTTGATGATTCTCCCCCTAAGAGGAATTCTGCTCTTAACACTTAACATAATAGAAAACTTTCACCTACCCATCTATATGCATCTATTTATACTTTCATCCAGTCACCCCTCCCTTATCTGTCCCCTGCCAACATCTATCCATTCATCTTCCACCCAACTCTCCATCTGTCTGCTTTCCTCTGTCCAAACTAATTCCCCTGGTGCCTCTCCAGAGACCTAGAACACTATTTAGAGGAAGTTTCTCTCTCTCAGTTTTTTAAAGAGAAACTCATGCTTTGCAGAAATAACTGTTAGCTGCCTTGAAATGATAAAGGGGAAATAGATAAGAGGTGTATTGCTGGGAATGAACAGTTATAATCTTTGCCTTGGGCAGAAGAAGGACAGATAAGACCCAAATTAGAATTAATTGAAACAAAGCCATGTGCATTCAGGGGATTCACTGAAGGAGCTTGGCCAGGTGTGACTTGTTTACATATGCCAAAATTTAGGGTGTTGGTGGAAACATACCCACATGCAAAATACCCACATGCTCAGAAATAGTTAAACTTTATCTTGAGCTCAGCTTGAATGCAGCCCTACCCCCATTCACTAATGATATAGGACTGCTGATAATTAACTTGTGAGGTATGAGAAGATTATTTCTGAAAGTTGAATCCCTCAGCATCTCATGGAGGTCCTATAATTGGATGAATCACTGACAATGCTAGCACTTATATATATATAAAAAAATAAATATATATGTATATATAAATACAATACTATAAATTTTGCATTTAATGTTTATATGATATATCAGAACTGTGTTAAATTTGCTGTTCTTTTTCTAAATGGTGTTTAAGCAGTTGAAAGTAACATTGTAGCATTAGAAGCATAGGCTGAATTGAAATAAATTCTGTTCTTCAAAATGTTCCCCTTCTACTCTGACAATGACCAACCGTTGCTTTTTTTTTCCTTAGGCAGGGAAAGTTATTCCAATTGGATACAGAGTTGCAACCTGCTTGACTGAAAAGTTTCCCAGGGTGAGCATTTTCAATATGCATTTGTGTGAGCATAAGATAGGCAACCCTCAACATTCCTTATGAAAATTGTATAAATTTAATGCAGCCAATTAGGATTCTTTACTATATTTTGAGGTCTTCTACTGAGTTTGTCCAAGGAAGTGAAAACTACAAGCTTACAGTTCCTAGCTCTTCAGAAACTACTGGAGATTCCATTTTTTTCAGGAGGAAATAGTTATTCACTACATGCTTTCTACATTGGATACTTCCTGGTTATTTTCTAATATATATTTTAAAATATGTTATTTCCTCAAAAAAGCAAATTTTAGGAAGTTTCATTATTTGGAGCTGGAGTTCTCCACTCATGCAATGAAGGGTATTCACTGGCATAGATCAGTCCTGCTAATATTTTTAAAACTATACTTAATGATTGTATTTTCTTGTCTCACTGTTTGTAGCCAGTAACTCCACCTGAGGCAAAAAAATTTTTCAACTTCAGATATCCACCTGCTGGAGCCGAAAGAGTATTTTATGGCAGAGCAAATGATCCCCAAATTGCCCCTTACTTGACACATGGAATAAGGTCTAAAATTTCAATACCGGTAACTACTTTTCTTTTTTTCCCTGTACACTACCAACTTCCCAAAGTAAAAATGCACAAATGAGGTATTATTGAAATAATCAGTTCCAATTTCCTTTCCACCCTTAATTTTGAGCAGTTGAAAGACCCAAGAAGCAATGCCAGAGAGTATGGAGGAAATTAATGGTTTGAGCCACAAACTGTATATTCTCCCCTGATAATGACAGCCAAGTTGCGCTCCATTTTCTCACAGTGAAGAGAAATGCTGTCAGGCTTTGTTAGAGAACAGAGAAGACAAAGGCTGGGTGACACTGCCTAGAGGCACCACAAAGGGCTAGGTAGACACTGAATGGGGCTGGGGCCTGAATGTGTCTTGGCTGTGACTGAATGGACAGTCTAGATTCAAAAAACCTGATCTGTATATCTGGAGAGAGCGTGTGGAAATCGCACAGTTCTGTGCCTGGCATTTCCACATTTTTGGAATATTTGAGCCAAATAACTGGGGAGCTCCCCTCATAAATCTTTTATCCCCTTTGAAACCTTTTAACCCCATTGAAAATTCATATTAAGGCATGTTTAAGCTTTGTGGCCCCAATTCTGACAGTTCCTTTGAAGAAGGTGAGCATAGGAAATGTTCCACAGTCATACTCTTTTTTCTCTAGCTACTGATTAGAATTACAGTTTTCAGATCTTGACATTTTTGTTGCTATATATGTGCTTTGTATGATTTCTTTAGGCAAAGGTATTGGTAAACCCACAACCCATTACAAAATTTCAACAGAAAATTAAAGATAAAAAGGAATCAGTTTACTTTAGCAATCAACGGGCCCCACTGGGAAAATCTCATGATCAAACACCAAGATTACCTAAAGGCATGGATATACTCAATACGACATTTGGGACAGCATTCATCAGAGGTAGTAAAAAAGTAAGGGGTAGGGAGTGGGTGGTAAAATAAGTCTTAAAAATGGGATTTAGTGTCTCATTGATAAACTGGTTGGTGATGGTTTAAACGGTGATTCAAGAATGAAAGATGGGATCATAGTAAGAAAGCTGCCCTAAGGCCCAGAATCCTAGACTCTGTGTGTGCCAAGGCAGTAAAAATTCAGATTTTGGAGAACAGATTCAGCAGGCACAGTGGAGTTAGTATAAAGGGAGGAAAGAGACTTAGGAAAGTTGACATCAGGGCCAGCTGGGAAAGCTGCAATCCCTTCTCCCTGGGCACCCATTTGTGTGTTTATTTCCACCAATGCTTCTGATGTGTTCCCAACTTTTAAGTCTTTATGAGACTCCATTTGTTTCATAAAGTAGACCATGGAACAGACAAGTTTGGTAAAAGCTATGCACCACACTCTGTTTATGCACATCCACAATGTCTACCCACATATTAACCAAACACATGCGCAGTGTGGAGAGCAGGCTTTCACTTTCATTTTGAGAGGGGGTAGAAGACATCTTTCAACAAACAACCACTTATAATGAAATTGGTCACAGGCCGTTATTTCTTCTGAAGCCCTAGCCTCCGGACACTTGTTGAGCACTTTCCTGTACACCTTTCTCACATTTATCTCCTATATCCTTTTCAGGGCTCCTGGCCCCTCTCTCCAGGGGTCTTGCCATGGGAGACCACAAATTCCATTCTTTTTTATCCTGCAGAGAAATCCAGTTCTCTCTTTGTCTCTCTGTACCCATTAAGGCTTTTAATCTAGGAGCCTTATCTTTTTCAGCAAAAAGTCCATTAGATTATTTTTCTAAACATAGTGACATCCACTCTGTGGATAAATTATGCCTCCATTGGATTGCAAAATATGCATTGTACTTTACTGAATTAGACTAACGTTAAAATTTGTTAAAATTCAAAACAAGAAAAAATGTATTGTAGAACAGATAAAATTTCTTAATATGATTAAGAAATTTTTAGTAGACAAGGCATTACAGTATTATAGTAATTATACCATAACTGTTCTCTAGCATTAGTCCATTTAATGTGGAAAGTACTCTAGGTGTACCTCATTTAAATATACAGTAGAAAGAACATTCCAAAAGTGCATATGTATATTAATAGGTGTAGTGGTTCACTTATCAAAAGGAAGCACTGCTTTACAGGATTATCTTGAGGAGGACTACCTTCTGGTATTCCTAACGCTTGTTTACAGATCTCAATTCTTGACAGAAGGTCCAAAAGAAAGAAAACATCTGAATATGTTAGGATGAAAGGGAAAAGTGAAATTGTAAATGGAATTGTATTTAAAAAATCAAAATTCACTGTATATAAAACTGAGGACCACCCGTCACAGAAAGCAGCTCTTAAATATTTTATAGTTCTAAATCTGGAACCAGTAGAAAGAATTTCTTCCTGACCCAGTGGTTTCCCTGTTACTTTTGGCTACTTTGAAGATGGATATTCAGATCAAAACAGACTCAGGGTGTGTGCGCCCATGTGCAGCTGCCAAAATTTGCACTAAGAGTGTTTCTGAAACTGATTTGTGATTCAAATTTGCTTAGGTTATCTTGGGAAGTCAGGAGAAAATGAAAATCGAAATTGTTCGGAGATTCTCGGAATCAGGAATTTAATAAGGCTGAGAATATGGCTCAGGACAACCTAAGCCATTAGCTGGTATTTGATATTCTTCAGAATTCGAGGGAGTGAGGTGGGGTTCCCGAGGACAGTGACATCTAGGCTGTGTCCTGTCTTTCTTGTCCTTTCTTTGTTGGCTCTGTGTTTGCCCAGCGTGCCCATGTAGCTTATGAAGTCAACACACTTTGTGTGTCATTTGCTGTAGTCAATTTAAATATATTACAGATGAAAAACACCTTAAAACTGATTTCATTAATTATTCCTTTAGAATTATCTGCTAGAGATGTGGTGAATCCACTAAAACCCTATGAAGAAGTATTCAAAGAAGGACAGGAAGGACATGATCTGTATATTGTTTCTCACAATGATTATTATGTGGGTAAGTAACCTCCAGTGTAAAATAGGCCTGAGGTTGTAGGCCTCTCAGATTTGTGAAGAGGAATAATGGAGATAATGTGCAGAAAGTTAAATGCCTGGCATATAATAGGTGATCAGTATATAACTAGTCATTCATAAGGTCATAAACCTTGACAGCTGGGAACACATACTCTTATGCATTTTGTATATAAAATGTAGAAATACATGTATCATTAAAATGATAAAACATCTAAGACAGATGAAATGTTAGTCTTATCTTGTTTTAGTGGTTTTAGGCTTAAAAACTACTAGTTGTATTGAAATATCAGGATTTTAAGTGCTTAGTTATATATGAGGATATTGGATAATGATCAAGTGTACAAATTTTGAATCAGGTCAGGTTCAACTCCTGGCTTTTCCATTTGCTATCGTTTAGATCTTGGGTATTTTACTTTTCAATCATCATCTATTTTAATCTCTTAAAGGGGGTAATATTGTGAAGGATTAAGTGGTGCCTGCAAAATGCTTAGCATAGTGCCTGGAACATACTGAGAGCTCAGTAAGTACTAGCTATTATTATTATTAAGTGATCTTGTCTAATAGGAACACACTACTGGAAACATTCTATAGCACAACTAGAAGATGTTAGATGTTTATTGTGCTGTAAAATAAAATACAACTTAATTGTTGATGTGCTGATGCTAATTAGAATCTTGATATAATACAGGATTGAGAATTAGACTCTGGTACATGTCCTGATAGAGCTGACGGCTTGTGCGTGATTCCTGCACTCAGTCTTTATTATTAGTGAGAAACAAGCCTTGCCCTTCTCTGCAGTGCAGGGCCCCTCTCTCCCTTGCTGCCTCTCTTCCTCTGCTTCTTCCTCTCCACTGCCCTCTCACACACACTTCTCCTCTCTGCTCTTCCTCTGAAACTTCAGCTCAGAGCTCGGGCTTGTGTCCTACATCTGTTGTTCCTCTGACTGGAATCTGCCCTTCTGACCTTTCCTGGCCAGTCCCTGCTGGTTCCCCACACTCTCCAATATGATGCCAGTCCTGAGGTTGCTTTACCCTCCCTTTCAAAGACTGCCATTGCTTCCACCCACTGGGTCAGCTTCCCTCACAACCTGGAGCTCTCTGCATAGCTCCACCCCCTCTGCTTCTGGGGCTCTCCCCTTTCCTCTCTTCCATTCCCCTCTCTTGCCCTTCCTTCCTTCATTCCTCCTTCACTCTCTTCATCTCTTATGAAATATTTTATTCATTTTTGAAAAAGTTTAGCATCTATCACACAGAATTGGATATCTTTTAATTGTTTTAAACAGAACTACATAAACAAATGAATAAATATAGACAAACTACAATGAGGTATCTTATGTGCATTTAGCAACTAGAGGAAATGAGCATAGATATTTTATATTTACAAGAGCTCTAATGGACTATAAAATGATTGAAATAACCTCCATTTGCTGATTTTTAAAGATGTTTCATTGGCCTTTTAAAAAGTCATAGAATCCAATTAATATTGGATTATTTTTTTCTCATACTGAAAGTAGCTTTACTTTGTTATAAAATTACATAATTGTAGAGAATTTAAATATCATGGAAAAATGAAGAAAAGCAAATGCAACCTTGAAATCCCTTTAGCCAGAGATAACTACCATTGATAAATGAACATCTTTCTAGTGGCCATCCACTGAGCCATCTGTCTTTAGTTAAGTGGAATGATACTTCCCATGCTTTTGGGGGAACCTCCTACATACATTTATATTTTTCACTTAAAATAATATGTCAAGAATA